AATCATTAGTGTGAACATTAGAAAAGAGCACAATGGAAGCGCTCAGTTTAAGTGCATAGACTCTTGATCCTTTTAAAAATACCTGCATTTTTTTAGCATGAAATGAAAACATCTAAAACTGAGCACTAAAGCAAATGCATTAATCAGGTAATAATACAAGATTTCCAGCTTTCACTTTGCATCTCAAACACTATATTAAATTTTAATTTTTTTTCCCACAAAGCATCTTCAAATTCTTGAAAATAGTTAATACTGAAGTTGTATTTCCTACTGCTGTCCTACAGGTGAAAGTTTTATTTACTTTTTTATTTTTTAATATTATTTTTTTTCCTGTAAGCGGGCCTCTCACTTTTGGGGCCTCTCCCGTTGCGGAGCACAGGCTCCGGACGCGCAGCTCACTGGCCATGGCTCACGGGCCCAGCCACTCCGCGGCATGTGGGATCTTCCCGGACCGGGACACGAACCCGTGTCCCCTGCATTGGCAGGCGGACTCTCAACCACTGCGCCACCAGGGAAGCCCTCATTTACTTTTTTAAATTCTAATAACTCCACAAAGCCTTTCTAGATATCTCCATCAAAATAAGATATGACCTCCTCTGAATCCAGGAGAGTCTATAAGTTTTCTTTCTTATGATTTTACCTTTCTATCCTTTCTAATAATCGATTGTATAGCCACTTAATATCCACACTCTACTGTGTTTAAACCCACTCGGTCGCAGCCTATGAGACCTAGTACAATCATGAGTGTCCAGTGAATTCTTGTTTTGGGGAAAGCTGCTAGAAAGTGATATCCATTTTTAAAAACTCAGATTCTTCTTCTTTTCTTTGTTAACAAATTCTAAGAATTTCACTAACCCAAACTAATGGAGTGGAAGCCAGTGTGAAATACAGAAAGTCCACTCAAAGACACTAATATGGGGCTTCCCTGGTGGCGCAGTGGTTGAGAGTCCGCCCGCCGATGCAGGGCACACGGGTTCATACCCTGGTCCGGGAAGATCCCACATGCCACGGAGCGGCTGGGCCTGTGAGCCATGGCCTCTGAGCCTGCGTGTCTGGAGCCTGTGCTCCTCAACGGGAGGGGCCACAACAGTGAGAGGCCTGCGTACTGCAAAAAAAAAAAAAAAAAGACACTAATATGGTTCATTCAAAACACTGTTCAGATTTCACAAGGATCTTACTTTACTGAATGGATTTATAACTAGCATATTCACTATTTACCTACAAACAAATTTCAGAAGTAATTAAGGTGCTTGAAAGCAGCTTGCTTAAGTAATTTCAAATTGCACCATAAAAATTTCCCTAAGCAAAGATGAACTTTACTTTTGACATCAAATAAACAGAAAATTTTAATAAAAACAGAGTGGTTTTACTGCAGTTTAACATACAGGTAAATTTTAGTGATGTGAAGATTTTCTGAATATTCCAAAGTACATATGCAGAAAAAGTTTAACTGAACAATAAAACAAGAATAATGGCCAAGACCGGCATTGCTTCCTTTAAAAGAAATGTTATTTTTAACCATAACATTTTCAGAAAAGCTTTCCTCGTTCTGTTTGAGTCCTCAATTTTTCAAGAGGAAGCAACCAACCTGCATGGTTGTCATGATCTTGAGAGCTAATATTCAGCTAACCCAAAACCTGACACATTAATTGTTGTTCTATAAATGATAGGTATTACAAATATTATACTATTATGCTTCTTGAAATTGCTTATACCGGAATAATCCTAACCCAATATTACTACTTACAGAGATAAGCTTGGTCTATGACATTTAATTAAGGATTTTTAATCCTTCCAGCATTTGAGAGAGGAAGAATTGTCCTACGTCTCCATTCACAAGAGTGAAATATAAGCAGGTAAACTAAGAAATTTGTCTTAACTTTTGGTGAAAAATTTCTCATAAGCAAACCAACCCAAAACAATACTATATTAAGAAGAAAAAATACAAATTTAAGGCAACCAGCAACCAGAAAATGTATTCCTTAGAATACTTATCCTTAAAAAATGACATGTTTCCTTTGAAAAATAACTGCACTTAGGAAAAATAAATGTTCTACAATCCTTTCCAGTTGCCACAGAAGAGTTTCAACAGCAATAACACTAATTAATTATTTGGGTGAAAGTTAAGAAAGGGAAGAAATTTTGGGCATATGTAGTTATTCTGTGTCCATCAAGTTTAGATATCCTAAAGTACCATAAAAAATTTTCATATAAAGAATTTTAGGGTTCACTGAAGTACATTTATCTTTTCCTTTTACTGTCAGGTCCCATATGAACACCTTAACAAAGGCTGAACTTGAAAGAGATTAAAGATAAGTTCCTCAGTTAATAAGTTGTAAAAATAATTAGAACACAAAGATTTTTATTAATTGCCTGAATCTATTAAATACATGATTTTTAAAAAAAGTGGTCCCATAAAAGGGTGATTAGAAAGCTATATATCTTCAACCCCTTTGGCTCCCTTAATATGCTCATACCATTTTAACCTACTAACTTATGGGGAATCTAGTCTAAAGAAATAACCAGAAATATGGAAAAAGTTTTATTTTTAACAGCCTATTTATAATAATGTAAAAGTAGAAATCAATATATAAGGGGGAATGAGTAAGTAAGAATTTAATCACTTAATGGAATACTATTCAACCATTAAATGTTTTTTAGTTTGTAACATGGGGAAACGGTTATGTTCAGTGATTAAAAGAAGAAAAGTTAAGGTATAAAATTTTATATACAGTAGTAACTCAATTACAAAAATAAATCCCAAATCTGTATATAAAAATAAGAATGAAAGAAAACATACCAACTTATTAAGTGATTAACTTTGGGTAGTGGAAATATGCATGATTCTTTCTTAGAGTCTACTTTTTTGAATTTTTAAATTTTCTAAAATATTTCACTTAAAATGAAAGACATTCTTCTAAAAAGCAAGCTGTCTAAACATTTGGAGAGTATCTCTCTATGGTTTCTGTGATTCTAAGCTTTCCAGGAAATTCTTCTACTAAGGTTGGAACTTTATTGTGTATTTGTGAAATGTTTAGGATTTAAGTAACAGAAGGAAATAAAGAGAGACTTAGGGCCTACACTACATGCTAGGCACTTAAAAAAATGATCTTAATTCATCCGACAATCACCTCCATTTTATATAAAAGAAAACTAAGGTTTAGAAAAATTAAGCAACTTATTCAAGTTTGCATAGCTAACAAGAAGTAAAATTAATATTCAAAAACCCAGGACTATTTAATCCCCAAATCTGAAGACTCTGAAATTTAGTTTCTAAGGTATACCTTTAAATGAGAAAACCCAGTAGGTGGTTACCATGATCCTAAGCAACTGACCATGAGACCAGGAACCACTGGTCAGACAGTCATAATTAATATATTCTCAGATATGCTGCAGAATTTATACAGACAATGTGGCCAACTATTGGTGCTACACCAGAAGATATGCCAGATAGAAAAATATATATGCTAGCTATCATATTCCCTCAGTGCCATCTTTTTTCAAGTAAAGGTGAAGCAGCAGATTGCTAGCTTATAAGATGATATCCATATGAATAAACTAATCAATCAAAATTTAAGTGATTTCTACAAATTTAAATTACACATGATTAGCCAAGCTAAAAAAAAAAAAAATCATGATTCTACATTAAGCTAACTAATGCTTCCAGCTTTCTGATACCAGTTAAAAGAATGATACTTATTAACCATAATGTAGGCTCTAACAAATAAAAATCTTAATTAGCAAAAGTCCTGGCAAATTATTTTTTTTATATCAGGCAAAAATGTTTCTCCCTTGTTATCTACTCCTGTGTTTTTTCTCCCTCCCTAGGGTTTCTTCTACCATCCCCCAAGAAGTAGAAATCCCAGATCTATTAAAAGAAGCATTTTTCAGGAAGTGCTTTAGAGTTAGCAGTTCCTCATCTCAAGTTTTTTAGTCTCTAGGGACATTTGCAAAATTTGAAATGATCAAAAAAAATCTATATTAATACGTTTTTTAATGGTAAGATGATATATAATCAAACTTTTTCAAAAAGGAAATTAAATTAAAAAATAACTTCTCATTACTTTGTTCATCAAAACATAATTAACAGAATACCCTATTAATTGAACATTTTGGTTAATCAAGATCTTATCATATTAAAGACATCACTGTAATTAGCAGGCTATTGTTGAGATTAAATTCACTCAGTGGAAAATTATGTGTTGAAAAATTACGTGCCCTGTTCGCTTTAGCACTCTAGGAGTGGAATCTTCAAATCCTAAAATTAGCTATCATGAAACTTGTATTAGAGTTGCTTGTGCTCACTAATAAAATAAAAAATAAATGACTATAGCAACTGAATAGTTTTGTAGTATGAAACTCTTGAAACAACATCTCTCAGAATATCATATTCATTGAAACGTAATGCAATACCAATGTGCTCAACTTACTGTTATAAAAAGACACACTTGAATACTTGAAAATTAACAATAAAGGAGGCTTATAATGACAATTTTATACAGGACACAAAATATGCATAAAGTGTTTTATAATATCATATTTATTCTACTAATAATACTCTAACCTAGACTATCTAGTATTTTGTTAAACACAGTCCATGAAACAATGAAATTTATACCTTATATTACCAACTATTCCAATGTAGTAAGACTAAAGATGGGAGGAGGGGTTGAAAGAAAAGAAAAATAATGCTAAATTTTGTACTTCTCTTTTTTAAGTTCCAAATCAAATGACTAGTTTAGTCTATGATTATAATTTTTCATAATCTCTAACAGGAAGATAGAAACTTATTTTTTTAAAAAGAAGCATTTTAAAAATTACAGCTGAGGAAATTACAGCCTGGCAGTTAGGTGACACCTACAATCATTCATCATGTTCAAGCAAAGCCGTCCTTTGGCCTGGTCTCTCCTGACTCCCAGACAGGTCATTCTCCTTATACTGCTAGGAAACCTCGTGAACACTGATGGGTATGTTCAGAGAGCTAAAAGAAAAACTCTTACCGACTGTAAAACTGTTTCAGGACTTTTATCTTCATGCTCATGTGATGCCTTGGTAATTATTCGAATAGTTTCTTCTTTCAAGTGCTTTGAGAAATCACTTCTTGATGGCTGCTCTAGATATTCTGGTTCTCCTGCTTGTGCTTCATGAGAAAAGAATCAATTGTACATCTAATATAAATCAGTGAGTCTATACTGAGATATATGCTATTTATTTCTCATTTGAAGTTATACAATAATTAATTTTACTTTACTTACTCAATTTAAAGTAATACATGCTTCAATATACAGCACTTCCCCCAGAATTTACCAAAAGAAAGAATCAGATCTCAGAGTAGTCAAATAATTACTGAAGAAAGCACTCATTATAGTTTATGCTAAAAAATTCATAGTAAATTTCTCTGTCATGATAAGTATCAAAGTCTAACTTTGGAAAATCATGAGCATTCTACCAAAAAAAAAGGAAAAAAAAAAGAGGTAGTGCGGGGTGGTTTGTACAACAATCCTGGTCTGAGTTTCTGTAGAGAGCACAGTAGCTGTTTTTCTGGACACAGTATCCTTTTTCATACTTACCTAACAAAATCCTAACCCTGAATGAACCCAACCTTCTATCTTTTCTGAACCTGTTCCTGGTAGCTGAGTGTTGTCAGAGAAAAACAATTACAACTTGCCAAACTGGTACCAATGTAAATTCAAGACTTCAAATACTACTTCTGTGAAGAACTCCTAAAGTTATATCTACTGCCTATGTTCTGAGTTCAAAACCCACAGATGCAACAATGTACTCTGAATGTCCACTGGGTATTTAACAGACTACCCCAAAATCCTTATACGACCTACAAGGCATTATATAAATGGGTCTCTGCCTATCTCTCCAACATCGCCAGGTGTCCTTTGCCCTTTACTCAAAAAGGAACACATACCAGACTTTTTTCAGCTTATCTAATACATCAGAGAAGAGGTTTACCTTCCAACTTTTGTATCTTTCCTCATTTTCTTCCCTTTGCCTGTGTGTTCACCAATTCTCATCCCCCCCCATCTAATAACTTCTATATATCCTTTTGTTTGAATATCACTTCCTTATGGAAGTATTCCTGATAACCCCATTTCTAAAGCAGGGTTGCTCCTCCTCAACACTACTGACATTTTGGTTCAGATGATTCTTTGGTGTGGAGGATTGTCCTGTGTACCCAGGCATCTACCCACTAGATGCCAGTTGTACTGTCTCCGCAGGTGTGACAGCCAGCAATGTCTCCAGTATTGTCAAATGCCGTCTGAGGGACAAAATCACTCTCGGGTGAGAATAACTGCTCTAGAGTAAACGTATACTTTCTTTTTAATAGCACTTACCACAATTGTAACTTCATTATTTTTGTTAAGTATTTGTTTCAAGCCCATATCCCCTGCTAGGCTGTAAGAATCCAAAGAGCAGTGATGCTATCTCCCTTTTGTATTGCTATTTCTTCAATACCTAGCATATAATAAGCACACAATAACTTAATGGAACAAATGAATTAATAAGCTAATGAATGGATAAAAAGAAATAAGAAAGTACACTAAAATATTCTACAGCGTTACTGGGATAGGATGAGTCCTTGCTCAATCAATTGGTGGGACACGACAGGATTACTGTCAACCTTTCCAATATTTTACTAATTTAAAACTCTTCTCAAAGTGAAATATTATTCAAAAAGAAATAATGTAATTTCAACATAGATGCACGAGCATTCATTTATCCAATGAATTCTAATTAAGTGTCTAACTATGTGCCAGGCACTGGGACTCTGAGTGTGAACAAAGCAGCCAGCCCCTACCCCCATGGAATTTATAGTCAACTATGGAGAAAGTTATTAACCAAAGAATCACGCATATGAATTGTGACAATATCATAATAATACATTATAGGAATAAAATGGGGCAAGGGTAATTTAGGTTATGGGATATGAGATAAACTGACTTTTTAGCTGAAGTTAAATGGATTAGGTTTGAAAATGGAAGAATGAACAGCCCATGAAGTGAGCATAAGCTCAATCCAAAAGGCATCTAGTGTGGCTGGATTATAGTATTACAAGAGGGGAGAGGTGGCAAGAGATGATGCAGATAGGGACAAAACGGAGGCCTTTGAGTCACAAAAGTTTTGAAGGGCAAAGCAAGTGAATAAACATTTTAAATACAATGGCAACATGTCAAGTTTAAAGAACATTATTCTGACCACACTGCAAAGAACAGATTAGAGAGGAAAGTAAAACTAGAAGTCAATGAAAGTACTAAAAGGTACTACAGCAATACGAGCAAGAAACGACTATTCTTTTGGATAACAGAGACAGCAAGAAAAGAGAGAATTGGTTAGATTCAAGATGCATTTTAGACATAAAGGTTTGGAGACTGATGGGAAGATGACTTAAATTTTGGGTATGAGTAATTAGGATAATGGGAGTGAAATATACTATGACAAGGAAAACTAAAGGAAGAAATGCTTACAATGTGTGTGATAGGTAAAGAAGTTAAAAAATGTTAAATGTCCTCATTTCTGTATTTCCTGACTTTGGACTGCAATGTTCTTTCAGTGTCCCTGTATGATAGACAAGGTTAAGAAAATCTTAACCACTACAACTCCAGCTTAGCCAGTCTTCTGCTTCTGGAAGCTTTCGTAAGTGGCTTAAGTCAGCTGCTCTAGGGATTAACAGAGAGAGACTTCTTGTTGATAAAGCTTTCATTACTTGTGTTTTCCCCCTTTGTCTCTTCTCACTGTAATAGATAAAACATCAGTAGTTGATAGTAGGATGTGAGCTTAATGCAATGAGGGCCAAGAAATCCATCCGGTGTGACACTGGTGTAAGCCAGGGAAACCTGGACAATGTATGTAAATTAAGTCCTTAAGAGAAAAAGTAATTTTATCTGATCGACACAGTCAAATACACCTTAGGTCCCCAGCGTCAAGGTTTCCTTCCACATAGGGATTTGAGTCCAAAAACCTTATGTGATGCTGAATGATTCTGCCTAAATGTCATACAAAACTATTTCCTCTAGAATTTTCCCTGTGTAAATATCTTCCAGGGAACTTATTTGAGTGGTACTGTAATCACAGTAGGTAAACCTATAAGGATTCGAGTTCTGGGAGTTTGGAAACAAAAACCCAAACTTCATTCCCAACATGTTTGTTGAGCATATGCCATTTTTAGTACCGAGCTAGGTATTAACAATGGTTAAAAAAAAAAAAAAAAAAAAGACAGAAACTTTACTCACTTTAAGGAACTCTCAACAAAATCAGATAAATGTATACTCCATTACAACACGAAGTACTGAATGCAATAACAGACTTATGCACAAGGTCCTACAGAAGCATTGTGGACCTAATACACACACTTGGAATGATGCTGCATGCTAAGAAAGGAGGAATGTCAACTGAGCTGAGTCTTGAAGGATTTGTAGAGAAAATTATCTTGATGAGAAACAAGATGATTCCAGGCAGAAGGAATAGCATATGCAAAGGCACTGTAAGGACAGATAAAAGATTAATAAAATCCTTGCTATTAATGAGCCTTTACACTGGTAATCAAGATGAAATATAACATAAATTTGGTAGTGAGAACAGATTGGGACTAGAATAGAGGAAAAAAGGTAATAATTGCTACAGGGGTCATTAGGGGGATTCATAAAGATTTGGGGATATGACGAAAGTCTTAAAATGGATAAAATTTCAAGAATAGTGAGGATAAGAGGACATTTTCCAAATGAAGGATACTTCATGAGCAAAGCCTTAATGACAGGAAAATAACCTACAAGCAAGAATAATGGGGAATACCCTGGCTTAGATGAAACATAGAATAGTAGTCTTGGAAGAATTACAAGGGAGTCAGATTATAATAGAGGGTCTTCATAAAAAAGGAAAGAGGTTTTAGCTTCATTTTGTCAAACCAGAAGAGTAGAAAACATGTTCACTAGAACAAAGAAATAACCATAGGAGGAAAATAAAAGGCTCTTTCCACTACCTAGACATAAGCACTATTAATATTTTTAGTATTATATATTCCAGATTTTACCTACCCAAATTTTTTTAAACAAAAAGTTATTCTGAATATACTGTTTTTAACTTAATATAACAAACATTCTTCCTGTCGATACAATTTTTACTGGTTATACCGTGTTCTTCTGTATAAAGGGCTCATACAACTAATATTTTACCATACATTTAGGCAACTTCCATTTCTTTGTTAAAAACAACATTAGGACAAAACATCTGGCTCTTTTATGTTTTTTGCACACACAATAGTTTTTGTTCATCCTGTAACCCTATAGAAGTCTCACGCAACAGTTTTTGTTCATCCTGTATCCCTATAGAAGTCTCATCCCTGCTAGCCTATATAAATGGTAAGAGCTCAATAAACAGAGACCACGCTGTTTCCTTTATGCACTAACTGGCATTTTATGTACTAACTGGTCCCACAGTTATTAAAGTGTTATTGTTCAGGCTTCAGCTTGAAATACAGCTGGTGATTACTTATGTGACATTTGTTACTCTTAATTCCTGGAAGTCTTCTTTGGTTACCTACCTGCAGCTACAAACTCCTAAATAAACTCATTTCACCGTGAATGACCAGTTCTCTGTAGAGGTATAAAATGTCCCTGTACCTGGAGTATCTTTCTAATCATTTATTTAGTTTATGGATGCTTCACTGAGATTTTTGGATGGCTATCCTCCACATAAGATATTTTCCAGCCATGTTCTATGTTGATAATAGAACTTATTCATTCACCTATTTGGCTGTTATATAAAATCCAACATTCTGAGAGTACTCAGAACTTGCTCCTTTAGTCCACCTTCATGTTGAAGTAAGGGGTTGGGAGGACCTTGGGGGTGTTCTATGCCTGTTTCCTGGTTATGGTCTCTAGCATTTTAAGAGTCAACTTGACAAGCAGTTGACTTTCTGTTAAAGCATAAGGATCTGCTCTCTAATCAACTATTTAAAAAAAGAACAACAACTCATATCTTTCAGAAGTATTTCATACCTTAACTTACTAATGAGTCATACTTATTACATGAACATTTAGAACAATATTTAAAGAGTACTGCATCAAAGAATAGCAGCCCATTTTTCTTACAGAAATGTATTTAAAATCAATGATTCCCCAAAAACAGCCTATAAAGAGCCATGCTAAGCTGGCTGCATAGAATCATCACAGAAACAATTTTAAGACTTCAGATTCCTAGGTGGCACCACAAACAGAATTCTCAGCAATGTGGGGAGTAGAGGCTTAGGAACCAAAGTTAAACCTAAAAATTATCCAGGATAGAGCTATATCTGCACAACATACTTTTAGCCTTCTTCCCTAATGTATAGTTATTTGGGCTATCCTTTTTTTTTTTACATATACATCTTTACTGGAGTATAACTGCTTTACAATGTTGTGTTAGTTTCTGCTGTACAACAAAGTGAATCAGCTATATGTATACATATATCCCCATATCCCCTCCCTCTTAAGCCTCCCTCCCAATCCCACGCCTCTAGGTGGTCACAAAGCACCAAGCTGATCTCCCAGTGCTATGCAGCAGCTTCCCACTAGCTATCTATTTTACACTGGCTATCCTTTTTAAATGGTTGCATTCCCATACACTGAGGATCACCCCTAGGAAACTCATTATTGCAGTTTCCATAGGGAATGAAATCAAATCAGAAAATATTCAAGGGGCATCAACCATTTGTCATTTATTATGCTAGATTCTGGAGATTTAAATAAGAACATCACCTGGTCCCTGTTTTAAAGGAACTTGAAAATATTGAGGATATTGTTCATTCTACCAGGTCTGACTCTCAGGAACCAGCTGTACTTTCCTGGAATATCAGCTTATTTCTGACTTGTAGACCATTTGGTCTACAAGTCAAAAATAAGGTCATTTTTGTCAAAAATGAGGTCATTTTTTGGTTTCAGCTCCTTTCTTTTTGTTTTTAAAATCCGAGTATGTTATATATATTGTAAGGACTTCAAATAGTTTTTGAGTAAGATATGGGTAACACAAGCAAAACAGGCAAAGCTCTCTCTCCTTCAGAATAATTTGTTTTATACATACAGCCTAGAGCCATGCTGCTTAACCACAGGTACACCTCAGAATTATCTGAACATCTTTTTAAAAATATATATTCTGGACCCTTCCTCCACTGATTCTGAGCCCAGTAAATCTTAGGTGGTATGTCCTGTTTATACTCAGAAAAAGTCCCCCAGGTAATTCTGATGTATCGATGTATACCGTGGTAAAGAACCGTTGGCTAAATCTCTAAACATAAGTGTTAAGGTAAGTTTTCTTTTGCAGCAGGCAGGTTAGGGAGGTAGTGTGAGATGGACTAAAGAATACTTTTCTATCATTTATTATTTAGTTTCAGTAAGACAATGAATCATGTAGGAGAAGTGATGCCTATGGATTTCTTTGTCACCTGTTAAGAAGAGGAACAAATACTCATTTAATTAATACTATATAAATTAATATTCTTATTTGGAATATCACCCTTAAGAAATTGGATTTTAATGGTTCTTAGGTTACAGCTTTACTGAAAAGATTTGCAGGGAGATAAAAAAAATCACTCTGATGGATTTTATAAACAGGATTTCCTTGTATTACTTCCACTAGTCACTCATAATCCTAGTGCACACCTGAGAGATTTAAACACAGGTTCTCTTTGACAGTCTGAAAGTATTATACCAAATTAAACAAATTACTTTGAAAACTGTGAGGAGAAACAGGAAAAAGATGGCATAGGCATTAAAGTAAAATTTCTCTACTTATGATAGGATGTTAAGTGATTCCAATGAACACTATAATATATTCCCTCATTCAACTGTGGTATGTTAAATTCCCCTGTAACAGAAGATGGATTTCTTAATATGATATGTAAGATAATAGACACCAATCTTTTAAACAATAATCTCACCCCCAAATTTATAGATTTAGAACATTCTATTTCTACTAACTCAAAATGCATATTTCTAGCAAGCCTATACAGGACACAATGTTTTCTACTGAGGCAGTATTGTCACTGCTTTCTGAAAACCCAGTCTGGAAGATAACTATCATAGTAATTACATATGAATTGACCTTTCCATCTCTTTATTTTTTAGTTATTCTGGCTCCTTTCAGAAATACATCTGTATTTCTCTTCAAGTTTTTTTTTTTTTTAAATACTAAAGAGGGACATGAACATATATGCCCAATACCTACTGCTGAATTTTTTAAAACTTACAAAACACCATATAAAGTGTACAATAGGAAGTACTGATCAGGATAAAAACGGTGTGGAGCATACACACATGTGGCCTTTTCATAGCGAGGGAATATAAGATGACAAATGTAAATGATGGGGAAAAGTTGGCTAGTCCTGTCAGACAGGAATATTAGTGGGGAATATGTATTAGTCTGATTTAGTAAAAATAAAATGTGTTAAGTCTGTAAATTTAGACAGTCTTGTGAGAAACAGAAAAGATGGAAAAGAGACTGTATAGAATTTAATATTTTGATGTTACAAAATATAATTGAGCCAAGAATAATAGGGGTGGAGCTTAACCAATGACTGGAGCACTCACCTTCATCTGAGTGCTTAGGTGCCACTATCACGCCAATTGTGCAGCCCTGTCCTCCCACTAATAAGATAAGAAGAGCCATGTGCAACTGGAGCACTTAAAAGTTAAGCAAAGAATAACAGAGAAGCTCCATCTTGGGGCAAGTTCTAGGGAGTAATTTGGAAAGGATATGTACAGAAGACAAGGGATGAAATCACAAAGAGATGGAACTGATTCAAAAATGAAAGGAACTGTAACATAGTTACTACACTGTGATTTGAACTCAGAAACCTCTTGATATCTACTGAGCTATTTTACTTCCTACTAATATGGACAAAGTTACTATAATGAAACTGCATTGTTGTGAAACTATAGAGTTTCACCTGTTCTACACAGTGGCCCCTGATGTCCAGGAAGAAAGTACAGTCCTCGTCTGGTAGAGCTCACCAGAGACTACAATGGTGGTATTCAGATATACTGTACTGCATTTCTGTATCAATATGTTGGTATCTTTGTTGCTATAATACCATTATCTTGGTCTTTTAAAAATTCTGAATCGATGTCACTTAAAATCAAGATCAAGGACTCAACTATTCAATTCATATGAGAACAAGTTCCAAGTCTGGAAAGATCTGTGCATGCCTACATTAGTCACCATACCATATTGTGGTATTACAAACCTCTCATTGAAAGAATAATTCCTTCTAAAGTTCAGATGATAATGCTGAAAACTACCTAGGTAAAGCTACATGGGAATCTGTCTATAAAAGATGAAATTAAACAAACACCTAAAATGCTTTCTTAAAAAATAAAAACACACAGATCTTACAAAAAAAGGGTGATTCAAAATGATCCACTCAGAGTTATTTAAAAAAAAAAAAAAAAAGAGAAAGAGACAAATGGGGTTAAGGAAAATATCTATTTAATTTATCTCTTCTCATTTCCCCAACCACTAAACAGAAAGAGGACCTTTCCTACAGTACAAAATATCATCCTAAAATATTTTGACAACTTAGTGATGAGATTAATCTTAAAAAAAAATCATTAGACATTGTATTTTCAGCTTTGCTAGAAGATACTTTTGTACAGTGTTATTCTTAATATTTTATTGATTTTATCACCTAATAATTGTGGAATGTTTAATATTTATATTTTTATACACTTATCTTCTCATTTGTTTTACAGATCTATACAGATTTTTGCTTGGAATATATTAAATATTTAGTTCCTGCTAATTTTGTTTTTAACTTTAAGAATTCTGAAAAAAAATCAAATAAATACTCTATATGAATTAATACTATTTACCAGTAGTGTTATTTTGCTCAAATATGAAATTATTAGAGTTCATTCCTTTGATAGCTTTAGTGAATTGGCTTGGGTTACCTGCAGTTTCACAGTTTTTCTAAGCATCTTGCCAAAAAAAGTCAATCAAAGTAGGCAGAATAGGTAGAGGGAGAGTTAGCAGAATCACCTCACTTAACTTGAAAACGATATATATGTACATACAGTGTTATCTGGCAAAGGAGTAAACTAAATTGTTGCCTTTTATTATCTCTGAGTGATGGAATTTCAGATGATTTTTACTGGAGTCTTCATATTTTAGGATAACTAAAGTTTTATGTTGTTTTTGCTTTTTCAATGAGCATATCTTATTTTTATAATAAAATATCAATAATAATCATGATATTGATAATAAAATGCAATAAAAGCGGACTAACCTGTTGTCACAGAAGACTCTGACTCTCTCAATTTCTGAGATGCTAAAAGTTTTTCCTGCAAAGCTTTCTGGGCAAGTTGTGCATCCCATTCTTCTAGTTCTTTCTCAAATCGCTGGTTGTCTTCCTCAACAAAATCTCTTAAGTCTGGCGGTAGTGTTTCTATTCCAACAAGGGCCTGCCCAGTTTCTTTATTAAACTCCTCTGCAAATCATATTTCAAAAACTATTATAAAATTAAGGATTAAAGGAAAAATGCAAAGCTCAAAATAGAAGGTGTTTCAAATGTATTTAAAGTACAAATTATTACTACTTGGCGAATCAATATTACCTATATATTAAAAGAAAACTCAAACAAATGCTCAGAAAAACAATGATGCAAATATTTGATAATCCATTATAGGTAATGTTCTCAGCTTTTACTTTTAGGCTGAAGAGTAAAAAAATGGAACAAGACATAAGGCCAAAATTGTTTGCTACTTTTCAAACACTGACATAGTGCTACTTTTTCTATTATAAAATACCAGACGTTTGATTACTCACGAAGTAAAACCACAAAATGAGAAGAAATAACTCATAACCTCGAAAGCTCAAAATAGAACTAAAATTCTTTTTCATCTGAAGCAGTTAAGTATAGCAATATACTTATATGCAATTTGAAAACTAATCAATCAATATAGCAAGATTTCTTTCAACATCACATAAGTAGTGCTTAAAAGCGTTACTCAACCTCTACCACACACACACAAAATAAATTTTAGCTTTCAGTCATAAATGAACTGCCTAACTAGTTTTGCTAAATGGTTAAATACAAAAGGAAAGTTTAGTTTTATCAGTCTCAACAAACCTTTATTAAGTGCTTTTTATATGCAAAGCCTATATTAGAATATGAGAAATAAAAAGATTAAGACACAGTATGAAACGCTCCCTGGCTTTGAGCAGACCAGAGTCAAGTGCGAAAGACAAGTCAACATACAATTCCAACACATAATAAGTGCCCAAGAGAGGTATGCTATGAGAACACAAGGAGGGATACTTTTGTGGCAGGTCAAGGAAAACTTGGCAGAGCAGATGACATCTGAATTGAATCCTGAGAGATGAGAAAGAATTAGGCAAAAGAAGAAAGAAATAAGATCACTACTGGCAAAAAAATAAAAACAGAAAACATAAGAACATATAGATATAAATGTGTGAAATGATTTGGTGGGAGCCAAAGAAGTTCAAATATTAGTAAAGTACATAAAGTTTGAAATGAACAATGGTTATAAATGAAGCTGGAGAGACAATTAGAGGCCAGAAAATGGAGGCTTTTTATGTTAGGTTAAGGAGCTTGAATATGAGTCAATGTGTGACATAGTCATTAAAGGGGTTTTAACAAGGAGAAAAAAGTCCGATTTACATTTTATAATAGTTACTAAATAGTTAACTTTGAATACAAAATATATTCCAGTTTTCAGCCCTGGTCACATTACTTTTCAATTCCAGTTTTCTCACCTACAATAACCCAGCAGCATTTCCTAATCATATTCATCACACTCTTTAGTAAACTACACTTAACTAATCACACCAGAGACCAGAGTCACATAAAAGGGTTACTTATTTAAAAATATATACCACCCTATATATTTCATATTCTTACCTTGTATTAAGAATTGTGGCTTATCATTTATGTACATTAAACAGTATGCACTGGCATTTCTATAACCACCAAAAGAGTCCCTCACTAGCTCTTCCCATGATGATTTTGTTACAGCAATATCATTGTACTTCATCCACCTGTTTTCACGATGATCAAAAATGTATGCCCAGTAGTGCCCGGCATTAGCTTGGCCTTCATGAACTAAAACAGCATGTAAGCGATAAGGAACCTAAATATGAAAAAGAAGAGTTAAACTGTAGTTATGTAGTCTATTACACCACATCCCATGAAACCCACAAACCATCTGACTGGAGGATCCCATAGAAGCATATGTTTTTTAACAAGAGTAAATTGGCTGGAATTAAAGTTTTGAAAAAATTAAACTATGAAATAAAAGAAGGCAGGGGGCAGAGAGGATAAGCAAACTAAAGACATGTAAAACAGACAGGTATGTAAATAAGATGATTTTCAAAACTTTGGAAGTATATTTGTTGATCTATTTATTTCTTTCGAATAAAGAACTTATGATGAACATTTTTATATACAGCACATGATTTGTTTAAATATTCACAGTTATAAATTGATGGATGAGTTCAGCAAAATGGCTTATATAATAAGCCATTATATGAGCCTCAGAAGTTAAAATGTAACTGAGCCCTTTACCTTCTCCCATAATCTTTTATTTATTTAGTTGTTTGTTTATTTATTTATTTTTGGCTGCGCGGGGTCTTTGTTGCTGCACGCGGGCTTTCTCTAGTTGCGGTGAGTGGGGGACTACTCTTCATGGTGGTGCGTGGGCTTCTCATTGCGGTGGCTTCTCTTGTTGCAGAGCACGGGTTCTAGGTACGCGGGCTTCAGTAGTTGTGGCTCACGGACTCTAGAGCGCAGGCTCAGTAGTTGTGGTGCACGGGCTTAGCTGTTCCATAGCATGTAGGATCTTCCCGGCCCAGGGCTTGAACCCGTGTCCCCTGCATTGGCAGGTGGATTCATAACCACTGCACCACCAGGGAAGCCCCACTCCCATAATCTTAATATCGTTAAACAACCATGTAATTTTCCCATAGAGTTTTTTTTTTAATGCTAAGGCCTTTTAGAAATTTTTGATAAATTTTATTATAAAAGAATAAAAAGGTAGGCTAATAAATACAGTATGAGAATACAACTGAATGAGGAAAATATTAATATAAAAATCTTAAAGTTCAACAATTTTATCACAAAAAGTATGAGAATTATGATAAATAACATAAAGATAAATTAAAATATGTAAATAATTTTGATAATGCTTACTAGCTCAAAATTCAACTTACTTGTATCATAGATTTGTCAGAGTACATTAGTTCAATTGTGCGATGGATTCTAGATATGCTTTCCTGCAAATCTAAGGATAGAAGATGCCATTTAATGATTAACATCAAGTATGTTTCTACTGAGACTTATAAGGTAGGGAATAAGGGTTTTCCTACCAATATGTTAGAGGAATAAGAAAAAGTTTCTAAAACTGTTCTAAAACTTACTATTCAGAATTTGCATAAAATGAAATTTAGTTCTTTATAAAAGATATAGCACAAACGAAAAATGAAAACAAATATGATTTTTAAAATGTGCAGAGCCAATAAAACTGAACTTTGTTCAAATTTATAAAGGAAGTTTCCAATGAAAATTAAAACTAACCCCCCCTACATATTTGTATAAAACAGGAAAAACTTTATTTTTTTCCTGTAGTTTATTCTTTTATTGCCCTAAATCAAGAATAAAGTTCTTTATCTTGATGAAGTTCCCCCTGTGTCAAAATATGTAACTTTGGAGCCAGAGGAAATTAGGGCACATAAGTGGAAAAGGGGAGCTATAACCTATACGAAAACCTTTAGAGTGAAATAAAATAACTTCACCACACTTCACACACACACACATACATATATGTATATGTACAGAAGTAACTGGATAAAAATCCACTTTAATCGCCAACTGAAATAAAGTTATGAGACTCCCATTACTCATTATTTCTACTTCCAGTAGAAATCTATCCTACAAAATTATTTAGAGGTAGGGATGTTTCACAGTTATATTGCCTATAATTGTTTTTTAAAAAGTGGAGACAACCTAAATATTTGTCAATAGGGAAGTGGTTATAGTATAACCACACTATACTATGAAGCTGTTAAACAGAATCAGGAAAAAAACACCAAAGACTACCAAAGAAAATTAGGAACTTTAGGCTAGGGAAAGGCCTTTTACAGCTTGTGAGAAAATCCAGTAACCATAAATGAAAAGACTCCCTCCCCCCAATTTAAGAAAATCTGTTATTATAGAAAGAAAACAAAAGCCAACATAAAGAAAATCAAATGACAAACTGGAAAAATATTATCTGCAGCATACACTACAGGCAACAGGTTAATACCCATAACATTAAAGTTTCTATTAAGCAGTAAGAGAAAGACAAATAGTTCAATATAAAAAATGGGCAAAGGTCACCAATTTAGAGAAAAATAGAATTTCACTCATAATTAATGAAATGCAAATCAAGACCCTGAAATACCATTGTCATTTCAACTATCAGACTACCACAAATTAAAAAGTGCCTAGAGCTAGGGAGAGTACTGGGAAACAGGTTCTCTCACACAAAATTATTGGGAATGTAAACTGCCTCATTGTTTTGGGAGGGAAATTTTTAAATAGTCAAAATGTTAAGTATATACACTTTGGATCAGAAATGGCATTTTTAATATACTCAACTCACAAAGTATGCTAATATGTATGCGGAAGGCCAGCTTTATTGGTAGTTAGTAACAACACAGAAATTGAATAAATTATATCATATTCATATACTGGAATACTATGTAATAGTTTAAAAAATAATGCTAACAGCAAATATCATCAGGGATAAAAGAGAGAAAACAAATATTCCAAGGAAAATCTTTAATACTTGATGCATAGTATTATAGGTCCAAAACCTTACGACATGCCTCTCAAGTTCCTCTAACTTAAAATGGCCAGAAGTGGACTCATCATATTCCTACTTCCTCCCCCAAGGTGAGGGCCTGCTCCCCACCAGTTTGCTCATTTCCAAAGTGCATTCCATCTATGTAGTTATACATATCACTATGAACAACTAAGGGAATCATCCTTGATCCTCCCCCCCTCTCTCTTCCCTCTTGTCAATGACCCACATCAAAGAATATACCAAAGTCATTTCTTTCCTCCCTCAATGCTACGACCTTGGTGTCAAAAGTTCTTAGCTTTCAGTCTTCTGAATGTAATCTTATGAAAACAAACACAATCCGCCAAGTCCACTAGAAAATTATCCAACACCTAGCACAGTATTCAGGAAAAACTATGTGCTTAATTAATGTTTACTAATGATTTCAAATACAAAAAATTTCCTTATATATGAAAAATACTAAGGAAAATCTTTAGTTACTAATGCTAACTGTTAGTTACCACCACACCCTATTTACTCCCTATTAAATACAGACTGCTCTTTATTTCCATATTGTCTATAAAGCATCTAGTTGGGCATTTAAAATCTAACAAGTGATATTGTTTAGTACAAGTCCAACCTTTTGGTATAAAAAGAGTAACTCCTAGATGTTTTTTTCATAGATCAATAAAATTAGGATAAAATTAGGGAGCAATAATAGGTTATTATATTTTGACATGCAAAAAAAATTATGATAAAACTACCATAAAATATTAATATCGCTTCATTTTAAGAAAAGGAGATTTTAACAACAGTAAAGTAGGATAAAAGTAAAGGAGATAATTTCAGAATAAAGGAGAGTTCCTTCCAAGCATGGACAGATGGCAACTTAACACTAACACACACACACACCCCACAGAGCACTGTCCTTACTTTTCTGATTTTACTACATGCCAGTTAAAACTCGTTATAGACTGGCACTGAGCTAATAGATCATATTTGGAAACCTACTAGAGAAGACTGAATATTAAAATTCACATTTCTAATTCTTCAACCTAAAGAAAATATTGTATCATTTGAACTCACTGCACAAATATCAAGAGAGGTACATAACTGATTAAGTACAAAATCTGATGCTGTGTGATGTTTCACCAATGGAGTACCTGTGAATACCAGTTTGATATAAATTTAGAGCCCTAAACCAGAAAATCAGACCATCTGTTAGGTCATTAATTAGCTAAGTAATACAGGAAAAATCTTTTGGTCTCTCTAAACCTGATATTAAGATCATAAAAAAGGAAGCCAAACTAGTTTATCTTATAGAAAACACTTTGTAGGGGAAAAAAACCTTTAATAATATTTACACATGAAACCCATAATCCATAGGTGACTTCCCTTCTCAATTCTAACATTAATCATGTCCATCTGAGGTAGAGTAGCTCTGCTATGAGAAACTTCTTACCTCTGGTGTCATTTTCTATTTCTGTCCTCCAGCGATGTAAACAGCTTTCTAGCACAGAGAGTTCCTCTTCTGTTATGTGCCTTGGTGCTGGATGCATGGGCAAATCTGGAGGTATCCGAGACTGAGTGAATGGTTTGTGTATTACTGATCTCGACGAAATGGCAACTATTGATGCGGGTGATGTGCTTGGCAGTTCTGAAGAAGGAGCTCCCTGCTGGTCTGTTGTGCTGTATTTTTAAAGTACAGAATATTCATTATTAAACTTTTCAAGTTGAAGCTCTGGACAATGATTATGTGCCAAACAAACAGCATTAAATTGGCTTATAATTTCAAAAAGAAAAAGTTTTTTTAAAAAAAAAACCCAGAAATATGTGGATTAATCTAATAACCTAATGAGATTCTTAATATATGGAACTACATTACTATAAAATTGGGGCTTTATAGTAGAAATGGCTTAATCATATTTATTTATACAAATCTTACATATACCAGAATTATAAAACCTTCCCTTGCTAATACTTAGCAGCTCACATTACAGAAAATTTTCTAATTTAACAGTAGTATTTTCATGGATGAAAGGATGATACATATAACATACAACCTGAAGTATAATTCTGAATGGAAAAAAGTATGATGAAAATTTCAATCCACAACCATAAAATCCATTGAAACAATGAAATAAGAAAGCCCCCAGAAGCATACAACCTTCTATGTGAATGTCATCTTTTTAGAGTTCACTAAAATAAATCACAACATGCATTTTATAACACCGTCTTTAAAGGCATCAATTATGTTATTACATAATACAGTAACACAGCTGTCTCTTCTATCAAGAAAACTCTTTACCTTGGTAATGTCTGTGATGGTACAGAACCACTAGATGGGGAACTAGCATCAATATCATCAACAGGAGAAGTGCAAACAGGTTTACTTGAGGCAAATTCCAACGCATACTGCAGAACATCCACCAAGGGGAATCGTTTGGGACCCGAACCATAGCTTAAATACCTATTAACCATAAAATGTATGAATGCTTTCATTTGTGTATAAAGCACATTTGTTTTTTTTTTCAATAATTGTTATAAAACATAATAAAAACACTTCAATAAATATTCCTCAACAATGAAATTAATTCTGCTTTCAAATGAAGATGGTAAAACTAAATGTACACTCAAGAAATAAATTAAATGTTCTCCAAAGGAACACAAAACCAAAGCTGATTAAGACTGAATGTGTATATACACTGTTATAAATTTTAGATGCTGCTCTAAGTTGTAACCCAATAGTAAAATGAAAACTGACATTTCCATCTCCTGAGACTTTTATTTTTAGATCTGTTATCTGGTCTCAAGATGGTGACTAATATTATCCTCCCACCGTTTATGTCGGATTATTTTTCAATATGATTACTGATACCTTTTAAGAATTAAAACTATTGAAAAATAACATATTATTTTGTATAAAAAGTTTTAGGCTATAACTTTTAAATTAATACTAAAACAAGGGAATACAGATTAGATCAGAGGTTGCAAACTGGGATCTTTCAGACCACATTTCAGTCTGTAGACTTCTGTCTGAACTACAGAATATTTCATACTCTAGATTCTGGCTTCTTCTGGAAACAATGCGAAGCTATAGACAATAGGAAGATGATGTTCACGCGTGGCACCGCCTACTAGTGCGGATAGCAGCCACCCTCTCTCCACAGGGATGTGCTCTCTGACTCCCTTTGCCCACCAGCTCACGCTTGACTTGCTTCCCTTCTTTATAAAGCCTCCATGAGCCTCTCGTAGGCATCTGAGTTTGTATCTTCTGTGTTAAGGAGAAACACTCAGTTACCGTTAGTTTTAAGGGGAATCTCAAGAGTAATATTTAGTCTCAGACAAGAAGAAATCTCAATCATAGATTAGTTTAACATCTATTTTTAGTACCATGCGTATTACCTCTTTATGGTAGGAATATTTAATTTTAAACAATAAAATCATCTTCTAATGCCAACTATGAATTATTTTAGTCTCTAACGAAACTCAAGCCTAAACTATTCAAGCAAAATATCAATCCAGAATGATTATTTACTCCTAGAATCACAAATCATTCAAAGCAAATTTTAAATTAAAGCTCTAGACAGTCACTAAAAATATGACTTCCTATAGTTAGCTCATAATTTCACTAAAGTTTCAATACCTTTCAAGTCTCTGTTGTAATACTGTGAGGTAATCTTTTAGCCTCTTGATCTCTTCCCTCTTAATTCTTGTTATTTCTCTGTTTCTATGCATGTATCTATCAGGAAAAAGAAATACAGCAATTATCAGTATTTGCAAATACAGAAGCAGACACAATATTAAGTCTAGCCATCACCACAGAAGATCAACTCATCCAAAATTTTATAATAAAACATCATACAGACAATACAAATTAGTATTTTTCCTTATAACATTATTCCCAGTAACTATCCTTTTCTAAATAAAAAGAGAACTCCATTTTCCTTGACAAATAGTATTAGATACATTACGCAAAAAGTAAAAATTATTTTAAGGAAATTAAGCAAAATTTTCTCTAAGCACAATAACTCTTCACTGGATACTGAACTGTTTCAAAACTAAGTCATGCTGTATACCAAACCATACCTGTCCAGATATAAAACTTGAGGAAATTCCAATTTGTTGTGAATTTTTTCTGGTCTTCCCAATGCCTGATTAAATTCAAATCTTGACAATTCAAACGTTAACACAGGTGGTAGTTCAGTAAACCAATGCTGAAAGAAAACAGTAACAAAACCCCTTAATATCACCTTTCTGTTTTCTCCATTGCAATTTTAGGCACAGGATGTTAGTTAGCAGTGGCATTTTTATATGCATCATAATAATGCTAACATGACAAATAATTGATTGGGTATGCAATTTAGTTAAAACTCAACTTCCTCCTAAAAGTTTTTCACACCTTTTGAAAATTCCAATGGGGTAACACACAACCAGGAAAGAGAAAAATCTTCTAATGACTCTCCTTCTTCAATGATTAATTCTTTACATTAGAATTTCTAACCCAAAGAGAAAGACACTGAATAAAAGTATGGCTTAGTGTCTCAAGTTTTCTGGCTTCTTCAATATTATGTCACAATTACTACCAGGAATGGCACATATACTTAATACAATCAACCACACGGTCAAAAACCTGTGACAAAGTAACATGTAAGAGGTAGTACACTAAAGAAAAAAATTATTTTATAGCATAAATGATCACAATTCTCATGCTAAAACTAGAAACTGATACTTTCCTGTTTTAAATTTAATGTTCCCACTGGAATTTTGACAAATTTGAGAAAAAGATCTATCACTAGGAAAACAGAGTTTATACTGGATAACTACATTTAATATTTTTAAAAATGACTAGTGCTTAAAGAATTGAATGCCTCACTGCTATGAGGCACTTCCTCCACACACTTTGGCAACTGTTCAGTTAAGCGTGAAATGCAACAAAACTTCAAAATTATTTCAATAAACAGATTCAAGCTTTACATAAACCTTATTTATTTAAAGAGAAAGAAAAAGGAAAAAACTTGTGAATTAACAAATACAGAAGTATAAAATAATGTAACAAGTATTTCCGAAGTGCTTATTTTAAGCCATGCAATGTACTTCTGTAAAAAGAAATTGTTGCATACTATATCGTGTATGGTATTTTCAAGTGCCACAAAATGTCACCACATAAATGTCAATAAGCTAAGAGTATGCTAATTTAAATTCAAACGTTCAAGAAAAAGAAAAGCAGAAACTGCACATGTGGCAAACTGAATATGATCTTGAAAGTTGCTACTTTTCTGTAAATAAAATCAATAAAAATAAATGGTTATTAAAAACTATTTCTCCCTCCCAAAATGCTAATGATTACCTGAATTGAGATTTCCTGAGTTGGGTTTGGTTTACCTTTTACTAAAAGTTGAAGTTTAAGGAATTTGCTTTATGGATATTACCTGAAACTGACTAGGGAAAGTTATGGAAGATCTAATATTAGAAACAACTCTTAAGTTTTAAAATTTCTTGAGCAAAGTTTGCTTATTTGCTTTGTTCTCCCATGGCACTGGAAAGAATTTTTTTTAGTTAGCTTTAATCCACACCTAAAATTACTATTAAGAATTAAAATATACCCCACACATATCACAAGGAAAACGTCTGATGCCTTAGGATGATATTCTCTATTCCATTTTACAATACTCAAACAAGTAGATTTCAAGTACTATTACCTTCATTTTTTTGCAATGCTTTAAATGTTACTATTTAAAATTAAATCTAAGTATTAACTTTAAATAGTTAACATACTTTAATTCACAGGAACCTACAATGGCCAGCAGAAATGAAATGACCCAAATTGGCGGTATGCTTCTCTGTAAACCATAAATAGTCCAGGAAATAGGTTCCATATCTTATGAAAGAATGTTCATAATATATTATGTAATATGTCTCTGTATGGATTTGTTTCCTCCAACAGCAGTGACAGTTTTTTCCTACTACAGGAGTGGAAGGATTTCACTTTTTCATTATCATGCTGATCAGGACGAGAGATAGCCACACCATTCCCTAAATTCATTTACAAAAATACTATGGGTATGTCTAGCTCTGTGATTTTCAGATCATAAGTACAGCAGTACATAAGTAGAATCTCAAATAATATAAACCAATGACACTTTTTTCTTTCAAAATATTTTTCCATTCAGTAAAACTCTATACTTTATCCCTAATCTAACCGGTATGCCATGCTGTGAGACACAGGTCATTAAAGGTAAAAATGATGCTTATATTCTCCATATCTCAAAACACATATCATTATATGATTACTATTATTATTACTACATTATAAAATGAACTGACAGGGGTAATAGATTTCTGCAGTTAATGAAAAAAGGACTTAGATAATCAGCAATGCCAACAGCAGTACTCCTGAATTTACTGTAAATATAAATCTGACCTGTTAAAATATTTTCTAGAGAGAATGTGGCCATTTTTATGAGTAAATAGCTGATTTTTCTATTAATATGTTTTAACTACCTTGCTTTTGGAAGATTACATGAATATGGGGGGGTTGGGGGGAGGAACAAGAAAAAACAGACCTATCATTGCAAATTCCCCACAGAACACCAAACAAAGCTAGGATATAAACTAAGCACGAGAAGAGAAAACTTGCAATTTCAATTCAAAAATTAGTTTCAGTCATTTAATTGCCTTCACTCCTTTGCCCTATATATTTCCTATATAATATCTCCATATATCTAATATAGTACATGTAGGTATTATTTCTATAACTTAGCTTTTTAATTAAAGCTCTGTAAAATTTCTCTCAGCACTTTGATTATAACTTGGTACAACTTTGTGAAGGGAAATTTGGCAGTACTTACATTTTTAAATGAGTATGCCCTGTGACCTAAAGATTCCACTTCTAACTATCTTTCATTCCTAAGTGCTCAAGGGTATTTACAGGAAGACATTCTTTGAAATAATTCTTTGTCCAACTACTGTCTCACAGAAGAATTGCAACAATTTAATTTTGTAAATACGGGCTACAATGATACTATGCAGGTTCTAAATAGAATGATGTAAAGCTATATACTGACATGGAAGGATGCTCACAATATACTGCTAAGTAAAAAAATGCAAGTTTCAGGACAGTATGAACAGACAAATACAATATTTATATGTGCATAGCAATCGTCTAAAAGGATGTACATCATACTATTGGTAGTGAATACCCATACCAGAAGTGAGGTGTTTACTCTTTGAAATTCTTTCTCTCCAACAGGCAATCAAAAAGTAGCTCCAGGTTTCTTGGAGAGTATAACTCATTTACAATTGGCACACCATTTAATTAAAATTTATGATTTAGAAAAATATCTTACATATAATCATTTTTACTTTATTCAGTTGCCTCTTGGTATTACAGAAATGTAAACTCTTACAGCCCACTCGATGTTTTAACATGAGCAATTCTGGAGACTAGAGATCTTCCTATATTAGTTGGCCCCAGCTATTTCAGAAAAAAAAAAAAAAAAGATGTTTTCTATATCAAAGTAAAATCAATAATTTTTATTAAATAATAGTGTAAGAGATAAAAGGTATTAACATCGGGGGTTATGCCAATTTTGTTTAGAAACAAGCCTAAAATGCTACTCATTGGCCTTTATAGAGAAACAAAATAGCTTTTCTGAAGCACGTAATAAGACTATAATTTAAGGGTGTTACTAAAAACTTTTAAGATATTCTGCTCTAGTCGGTGAGAGTCATTTAAACCAGGTTGAATTATTATTGAAACTACTGTGTTCAGCAAATCTAGGCAACTGGTACTAGGAATCACAGGTAATCAAATTTGCTATTATTGAGACGGCTTAGAAATTGAATTCAGAGATGACAACAAACCACTGTGTATCTTAGGTTAGATGGGAAAACCTAGGCAGAAATTATATATTGTGGTATAGGGCATTCAGAGTATGAAGCCAAAGACAGAGGACAAACTAGATTTTTAAAAAAATAAATAATGACAATCAGAGTCAATGTAAGAAAAACATTTTTAAAAGGTAGGAATATGTGAGAAAGATTATTTACCAATTATTAAATTATTTACCAATAAACCATAGTGTGTTTCATTTATAAGCTACTTTGACAATGTGAGGAAAATGCCATCCCTTTTTTCCCTGCCCAAACCCATCATTCTTTTGTTTAATAGAAAACAGATTGCACTTCATGGGGCTCTGCACACCTGTTCCATTTTGGGATCCTTGGAAAGGCCCAATCTTTACAGATTTGTTTCCCAATCAATAAAATAAATATGCTTAATTTAAGTATTCTTAATTAAAGGTCTATATCAGAGTTATCTGTGGAGCTCTGGTGGTCATATACCATATCCCTACCCTAGATTCTGATTCGATAGCTTTGAAGTGAGGTGTAGATATCTGTTGAGAATCACTGAAATAGATGCTCTATGATGTAGAGAGAAAAACTATTTCAAATATTTTCTCTCTCTCAAAAAAACAGCCAAAAAATAGTAAATATTATTTATTTCCTTTTTTGTTTGAGGGAAGAAAAGGAAATGAGGATGGCGTTAGAATTATATCTTTTTAAAAAAGCATACAACTCAAATAAAAGCAATTTATTCTGAAAAATACAAGAACCTAGTCCCTTTTTAGATAAACAGAGATGCCATCACTTAATATTTATTAAGTACCTATTCAGAATAAAGACCTTGGCAACTTTTTTAATATGACTGAGACATTTCATTCAGTCAGTCAATATGTATTATGTAATTTTATCTGCAGTCACCACACTGCCCTAGGGATACAGTAGTGAATGGCACAGATGAAGACCCCCACCCTCATGCACGGAGTTTACATCTAGACAGCTATCAGCAATTGCTTAATGATGACTGATTTTGGCACACATAATCTGTCCTTTATCGTTTACTCTATTATTCTAGAAGAATATATGGATGGAAGGATATACAGATGGAGCTAGAGAGATGAATTGAGAGATGGAGATAGGTTATTAGACAGAGACCAGTGGAGACAGATAAATAGGTTTGTAATATATTTTTTAAATTCTTTCTTTCTTGAGAAAGCAAGTTTTTTCATCTGCTCTTCAGGCAATCACACAGTAATTTTACAAGAAAAGGAGTGTGGTGTTGCCTACTTGGGTGTGGACATATTCCAACAATATTTGATGTAAGTAACATATGTCTATATAAAATTCCACTCTAACATCAGTGTTTTTCTTCCTTACTTCCAGGACTAGCATGCTGTAATGGCCGGTACCATGACTGAAAAGTCTTAAAAGACTGAACAGTGTCCTAAAGGAGGATTTTAACATCAAATTTTGAGAAAAATTTTAAATGAAAATTTAACTTAGATTATAGAGTATATTGACTCTGCAGGTTTCCCAAATATGTATAAATTATCATAATTAAATCCAAGTACATTTTCTGAGTATTCTCTCAATTATTAGTAGCTATATCCTTAGAGTCTTAAATTGCACTTCACAACATTTTAAGAAAGACCTGAAGGGGGAATAAAGATGCTAAACTCACCTCTTGGCCGGACTTTCCTGAATTTTCCGAATGTAAAGACTCAATTTCTCCTTCAATCATGGCAGCTTCTAGGCACTCATGTAGATCTTTGAATCCATTGACCTGAAGTGGGTACTGACCAAACATTTCAGTATTTTCAAATTTTTTACCTATAAGAGGGGGGAAATTAATATTCCTCAATATGGCCTTTTAGCTACTAAAAGTAAATAGATGTATACAGTAATTATCTCCTGAACCTGAAAACTATAACTGTTTATGGTCCAGACAGTAGTAGTTGGTATAATTTTCCTACTGGTTTGTACATGTACATACGTATATCCACATCCAGCTATGCTATAGATATTACACACCCCTATGTGTGTATGTAATTATATACATGCATATGTAAGTACATATTATGTATATATGTGTATAAACATACATATTTATATATATATATATATGTTTATTCTTTTAAAAAGTACCTTCTAAGGGTAAGAGAGTGTGCTAACATTGAGAATATATATAGCAGTGCACAAAAGAGATATGGTCTCTGAGCCGAGGAAACTCCTATCCTCTTCTGGAAAAAGACATTATACACATTAATTGTACATATAATTATGAACAAACAATTGTTTATAATTACAGATGTTATAAAAGGGGTGGTGAGACAGAGTGCTGTGAGAAGGTATAAAAACGGGGAACAAACCCAGTCTTTAGGGCTGGAGGGTGAAGCAGGGAAAACTTCCATAGCAAAATGACATTTATGCTGAGACTGTAAAGGTGAATGGGAGTTGGCCAGGCCAGAACGTCGGGGAGCCAGAGTATTCTTGGCCAAGCAACAGCACACGCAAAGACTTTCAGGCTGCAAAGAACTTGGCATGTTTTAACGAATTAAGGGAAGGAAAGTATAGCTTAAGGGAGCAAGATGGAGATGACAATGAAGAGTTAGGTGAGGGATCAAAATCAAATTCTTAACGAAGTCTAGTAGCCCTTGTTGAGAATTTTTTTCTAGTATATTCTGAATATAATGGAAAGTCACTGAATAATTAAATCTAGGAATAAGAGGCTCAGATTTATATCTCTGAAACATCCTTACGGTTTCTGTGTTAAGAGAGTGATAGACTGTCAGGAGACTATTATAGAATCTATCTAAAAATAAAGGTAGCATTGAATAGGGTGTTAGTAAAAGTATATAAAAACAGATGAAATGACATACACACATTTATAAATATATACAAAAGGGAGCACCGATAGGACTTGACTGAATGGCTCATAGGCAGGATGGGGAACAGAAGAGAAAGGAAGGTATCAAGAATGATACTCAGATTTTTAGCATGAACAACTGAATTGATTTTTATGTACTGAAAGGGGCACCAGTGAAGGAAGAGTAGAGGATTTTTTTTTTTTACTTTTGTTTTAAGGCAGCAGGGAAAATCATTGGTTTCGAATGGCCCATAAGATTTCAAGTTGAAAAGAGGTGGACATAAATAAGTCTGTAACTAAGACTGGTGTGAAGCTATAAATTGGAGAATTGCTAGCTTATTGATAGCAGGAAATCAAGGAAGTGAATGAGACTGCCCAAGGAATTATCTGACAGGAAGAGGAAGAGGACTTAAGCTGATTCCCAAGGATCTCACCTTTAGATACAGGAAGAACTATAAATATAACTCATAAGAAGTACCCACAGAGGCATGAGAAAGCCAAGATAATATGGTGTGATAGAAGCCAGAGAAGTGTTTTTAAGGAAAGAGTGGGGAAAAGGAGGAGAAGGAGAGAGTGGAGTCAACAGCATTAATAGTTGATAAGAATTCAATACGAACTGAGAGGGATCCGATGGACTAACACACGTGTAAGAAATCAATAACCTTAAAAAGCCCCTTTGAGAAGAGGTCTGGGGACAGAAAATGAAAGTGGGACAGGTAGAATAATTGGAGAGATAGCAGGTGAAAACAAACTCCTCACTTTAAAGGAGCTTATTTCTGAATAAGATTGACTGAAAAAAAGCATGTGAAGGGAGATTTTTTTTTTAATTTTAAAGATGTGAAACACCAGAGCATGTCTAAATATTGATGAGAAAGACACAGTGAAAGGAAGAAGCTAAAGATACAGAAAAAAAGCAAGATAATGGACAGAATAAGGCCTGAGTGAAAACATGAAAGGATGAGATTCTGAGCACATGTAATGAACAGCCATTGATATTAGACTAAATAATTCCTCTATTACCTGGAGGGACAAATAAAAGAATGTGGTAGAGGTTGGAATGGATCCAAGTTGGGAAGCCTGAAGCTCATATATATGAGGAACTCACTTTTAAGAACTATGATAAAAAAGTTATAAGCAAAAAATTAGATTCAGAGCCTTAGCCAGGACCCATGGTTAGGCTTCATTAACTTCATGGTAAATCCATGAAATTTGAGTTAAGATCTTTCTCAGAAAATGAAGAGACAAAGAAATTAGATTAGAGGTAGAAAAACTGGAAATAGTTATTGCAGAAAATGGGAAAGAAGACAGTGATTAAACAAAGATGACTGCCAGGTAGGATTACAGGCTTGGGACCAGTGAAGCTTAGAGTCACTACAACTTTATGATCCATTACAGTTAGCTCATTTGAGTGACTTTCTCCTAGCAATGGTCAGGTTCTCAGTACATGCAGAGAGAAGAGGAGTAGTTCCATGAGGGTCAGAGACTAGCCAGAGAAGTGTTGCCAGAAGGGAATGAGGGGAAAGAGTTTTAGAAATGTATAAGGATGATCATAATGGACAAGGAAGGAAGTAAAGCAAAGACTGAGAAGAACAGAATGGAGGGGTCAATGGCCTAGAAATTCTAGAAGAGCTGAAGAAGTTTTGCAATAGAGTACTTTAGTAAACAAACTGAAAATCACCCCTAATTGAGAGTCACTAGTCTAAAAAAAGGCATTAAGAAGATATATGTAAAAATAATAGTGTTCTAAAATAAATTGTTAACAAAGCAAACACACAGTTCACCTGGAAATGTATTAAAATCACATTTATGCAGCACAGTAGCCTTTAAACAACTCACCAAAACCAAGTACAAAGACTTCACTGACTGAGAAATTTTAATAATCACTTTTAAGAATCCAGATAATATAGGTAGAAGTGCTCATGAGAAGTATTACAAATAGTGCCCAGTCACAACCTGATTAGAGCTCCTCTTCTGCTATATACAGTGTTCTACTTCAGATAAAAACTGGTATGATAGTGTGGACATCCCAAATTGGAATACAATGCACTATATAAAATATTCCACTATTTATATAATGAATATTTAGCATTTGAGGCAAACAAAATGTACTAACACCTCAATATAACCTTTAGGACGTCTGATTAAATCCTGAGTTAGTGTCTACCTTTTTTCCAAATCTCAAATATAAAACTACATTCAAACAAAACTTCATGGAACTCCATCACTTAAGATCCTGAAGAAAAATTAATTTCCCAAATTTTATACTTTGGGTGATTTGGGTGAACTTTCAAAAGTTGATGTATAGGGTCATTTGGGAATAACAATTTTTCAAAAATGTATGCTTTGGGACTTAGTAATATTATTACTTGAAGTATATCTTATGAGTCAGTTCCCTGCCCTTGTTAGGAAAACCAAAGAGTAACTGGTGAGGCCTGGATTTTACATAACAGGAATAGTATCACTCAACTGATTTTTCAGAAGACAGAGTACAACTCTTTCTTGAAAACTATATTCTGAAGAATTTTATAATCACCCCCAAAATGGAAACCCTGCAATACCCTGACTATGCTAAATTGCTAAGTACAGCTTTCAACATGCATAGACTTGAAACCCTCAAAAACAGTGACCATCATACCAAGCCCAGTATTAAACTCCAATATTATTTTTAAAAGATCCACCAATTGCCCCATTAATCCCTGTATCCTAACAATTCACAGTATCACAGAACCCGTCCCAGGCAAAGAACATCAGGACAACATTAACTAAGTACCAAGTAGCATATGACAATATACTCTGTACTTTCCTTTACAGGCACTCAATTCTTTGCTTTTTATATAAATGATTAGCAGTAGCAATGCAGCAGAAACTACTAGACAGAGAAAGTCACATTAAAATTAAAAACCATTCCACAAATAAAGTCACTATCATGACAAAGGAGCTAAAAGCTAATAATATCTCAATTGTAATAAAAAAGTAAACATGTGTAACTATACCTTCAAGCACTCCCACGGCTAGGAATCTTCCATAGAACAACTCTACCATGGGGTTCTTTGGCTTCTCTTCATCCCTAAAAATCACATTAAAAATATAAATGTGGTTATAATTCTTAATTTTTAGAACTGTAAATAATAGAGGAAACATTAAAAGAACAATAATGTATGCCAAGACAATAACATTTATGTGGTTATCATGTGTTTGGCGCTGCGACTTAGTGTTGGGCCAAGGTACTTAAATTTATTTTCCGTTTCTTCACCTGTCAACTGAGGATAGTAATAGTAATGGAACTCACAAGGTTGTTGTAAGGGTTAAAATGAATTACTATGTGGGACCTCGTTATAAGAAGACCTGAGTAGAGTCTGTATTCAGGAAGTGCCTGATCTTTCCATTATCATTTCGACCTTGAACTTTTAGTCTGTACAATACATGCTTATCTGGACTTGTTGGGAAGGAGGGAAAGCCACTTTTAATCAGAATAAATTTCTATAAAATTTTAATAAGTCATTTCCCACATTTACCTAGAAGAATGAACACTAGCCATCAGCAGTGAAGGAGAAAAACACCAGCTTCAACCCAGGTAGCTAAAGAGAAACTCCATAAAGTTTCATGTTGCTGGTAAAATCAGTCATCTGTGAATTTTCCAAATTCTTTAACATATAAATTTGTTGTTTTTCTTTTTTGCTTGAAGCAAATAGAAACTGACAATTTTAAACTTTTTTTTTAACGCTTTGTACCGTGTGGTCTAAAAACACAAAGTTTATTTTGGCCTTGCTATATAAAAGTATGTTGTGTCCACAACTGCAGAGAGACTTTTTCTTCATAAATTTTGTGTTTAAATTAGTAAAACTGATTTATTTTAAAAAAGAGAGAAGGACACTATCTGTCTCTTGATATATGTGTTACATTCACCCTCATTTAAACCATAAAATAATTGGTGGGAAGTACTTCACTTAATCTCTGGAACAATCCTATGAGGTAGTGTGGTGGTCATCAGTGCTATTCAAAAAGATTTCTGTCCCTCTACTTTTAGGTACATAGTAAGAAGCACTTTCCCATTTACTTTTTATTGAAATTTGAAAAAAATCTGAACTGTGATAAAATACACACAATATAAAATTTACCATCTTAACCATTTTTAAGTTTACAGTTCGGCAGTGTTAAGTATATTCACACTGTTGTACAACCAACTTCCAGAACTATTTTTCATCTTGAGAAACTGATTAAACAACTCCACATTCCTCCCTCCCGCCAGGCCCTGGCAACCACCATCCTAACTTTCTGTTTCTTTGAGTTTGACAACTATTGACACATCATATAAGTGACATACAGTGTTTGTCTTTTTGTGACTGGCTAATTTCACTCAGCATCATGTCTTCAAGGTTCATCCATGTTGTAGTATGTATCAGAGTTTCCTTACTTGTTAAGGATATTCCATTGTATGTGTATAACACATCTGTATTTCCATTCATCCATGGACACATCAGTTGCTTTCACCCTGCTATCAATTCTTTTGGATATAAATTCAGCAGTAGAATTGCTGGATCATGTGGTTAATTCTTGTTTTTTTCATCTTTATAGATACAATTGACCAACAAAACTGTAAGGTATTTAAAGTACAATGTGAAGATGTGACATATGTATACACTGTGAAAGGATTCCCTCCATCAAATAATATTAGTATTAATTTTTTGAGGAACCACCATGTTTTCCACAGCAGCTGCACCATTTTACATTCCCATCAACAGTGCACAAAAGTTTCAATTTTTTAATATCTTCATCAACACATGTTATTTTCTGTTTTGTTTTGGTTTTGGTTTGGTGAGGGTTTTTTTGGTTTTTGTTTTTTGATAGCAGCCATCCTAATGGGTATGAGGTGTTCCCACTAGCTCTGAAGTTAAGTAAACCACATGACTTGCTCTGCACAACAAAATGTGAGTGGAAGTAATGTGTGCCATTTCTGGGCTATAACTTTGAGAGCCAATATACCTTCTACTGATGTGGTAATCCCAGAATCCTGTGATGAGATGAAGCCTCTGTCAGCGTAAGGCCCTGTCAATGGATGTGCAGAGCCCCTTGCTCACACTCATTGGGCATAGCTAAGGCTATGACATAAACCTCTGAAGTTTGGGGGATGTTGCCAAAGGATTATCTAGCCCACCCTAAATGGCAGCAGGTGGCACTCTTACCTCTATTGCACTGGTAATAAAACTGTAGACTACGCTAAGTCACTTGCCCAAATTCACACAACTAGTAAGTGCTCAAACTGAAAAGCAAACTCAAGTCTGCCTCTAAAACCTATGAATCCTCCCACTATGCATACTTAATCTCTGGGCATTTTAACTCTATGAAAACAGTTTATTTCATACCTTATTTTTTACACTGTGACTTGAGACTGATATGGGGGAGAGGAAGAATCCAAAGATTGTCTCTCTTAATGTAAAAGTCTATGAATCTTTAAACATATTAGTATATCCATTTCCACAGGTCACATTTCCATGTAGAAAAGCAACATTCCTGGTTTCTCTCCTTACTGTCACATACATACTGCATAGAAAGAGCAGTGACATACCAGGTTGGTGACTTTGGCCGAAGAAACTGGGTAAGAGCTGCTCGACTAATTCTGAATTCTCTTTCCAAATCTTCATATCTGAATTTTGGTCTGCTCTCCACTGACCTGTGGTATGCACACTGACCTTCCCTAAGGAGTCAGACAGACCAATCTTCTAGAAATTGTTTACCCTGTCCTTCTTTGCAACCTCTCAGAGGTCTTACTCTTTACTGTGCATTTAAGCTTTGAACATCAGGGACTAACACTGTGGTTATCAACAGAAATGTAAGGAACCCAAGTGAAGAGCAATTTAAAAGATGTGAGACTTCTATTGATAAAACAAAAATTATATACCCACCACTCGCATGAAGAAAAGCTAGATTGACACAAATAGCAAAGGGCAAAAGAAATCACTAAAGAAAACCTGTATCAGGGACACTTTAGCCTTGGGAATTAGGTCGACACAGAAAGAGTTCAGAGATCTAGGGCAACTGATAGAGTAACCTACTCAGTGCTTCCCAATCTTTTTAATGTCACTGGCACACAGATAATATATGCAGAGAACTCTGGAATAAAACCACGTTTTCTCATGATCACAGAAACAGGATCAATACCTCCACATACCTATAATCTGGCTTACCATGGCACAACAACTGGAAAGCTCTGTTCTAGATAGGCAGAGCATAGTGGTTCAAAAAGTTTTAGCTTGGGGCTTCCCTGGTGGCGCAGTGGTTGAGAGTCCGCCTGCCGATGCAGGGGACACGGGTTCGTGGCCCGGTCTGGGAGGATCCCACATGCCGCGGAGCGGCTGGGCCCGTGAGCCATGGCCGCTGAGCCTGCGCGTCCGGAGCCTGTGCTCCGCGACGGGAGAGGCCACAACAGTGAGAGGCCCGCGTACCGCAAAAAAAAAAAAAAAAATAAAAGTTTTAGCTCCATAAACAGTAAAGAAAAAACAAAACTACTGAGAAATGAATGAGGAGAAGGACATATTTCAAATAAGACAATTTTAGATGAAATGGGAAAGTTCTAGCTTCTTTTAAAAGTTTTAGGAAACGGGGAGAGAACTTGTTAGTTACTAGATCAGAAAAGTTGACACTGGGACCCAAAGAAATTTTTCAAAAGTAAATGGGTAATAAGGAAAGATCTCCAAAATCAGAAAAGAATGATCCTTTCAGAAATAACCAGGATTCAGGAAACAGTCAAGTGGCAGTCTTCTAAGGCTAGAGATAAAAAGTAATCAGGGAGTTGTGTTGCAGATAGGTTACTATATGGGCTGCTTATAGAAAATCTGGATAGATTTGAGGAGAAACTAGGGATTTCAGGGTAAAGCATTCAAAGAATTACTGAGAGAACTTCAAAGAGACTCAGTAATCATTGATGGGGATACAGATATTGTTCACATTCTGAGGAAACACGCTCAATAAATTTTGGGGGTTGGAACTCTAAGGAAAAGTACAAGGAATGTGAGTTTTACTAAAGAGGAGCCAGGGTGGACAATCATAGATCAAGTCCACACATGGGCTGTCTGCTGGTCTGACAGGACAGAACCCTGGTGGAATTCTGCAACACAAAAGAGGTGAAGGTGGACAATGCATGTTTGAACAATAAATTACTTGGGCATACTCCTAACTCATATTTCACTAGCTCTCATTATGAGGGCCCTATCAAGAAAATACAGAGGAACAGGTTAGACAAAAACAAATTTATAGGTCAGAAAACAAAGTCAAAAGAACAAAAAGAGAAGATACTCGTCCATCAAACACAGCTGGTCCTGAATGAGGTAGAAGCTAAGAAGCAGGTTAAACTATTAAAAATTCAGCCAAGCCTTCCTTAAAGAAGAATGAAAAAAATGTCTATGTAACTGAACCTTAAAGGGCTATCCCACCCAGAAAAAAAAAAGTAGCAGAAAGAAATATAGTCAAGTCCTAGAACTTTCAAAAGCTGAGGAAAGAGCATATCATAGAGATGATGATCTTCACTGGATGCTGGAACTCAGGTTTCAGAAGCATCAACAGCAGATTCAGTTCAGCAATCTGATGGGGAGATTTACAAATGAAGCTAACATGAAGAGAAGAAAGAAACTACCTAGAAAGCATGTTTTACAGGCCTAAACAATCCCATACCAATGCAATGGCAGCAACTACTGGGCACAAAAATATGTTATTAGAAAGAGCTTACATTCAATGCAGCACTGAGGGCCAGAAAACTGAAGCTCGTTAAGAAAAATGTAACTTAAGAGTTTTGGTGGACAGAAAAGAAGGGTACCTGACCAGAGCTGTTAGCATCATAAACTTCTAAACATGCCAAGAAGGAAGCGGCTTTGTTCAATGCCACATTCTCAAGACAGTTTCCAACAGTAGAATTTTTTCCCTCAGATACTGTAGATTTAGCACCATAATCTCGAGAGATTTCTTCCAACGTAAGTTTATAAGTAGTTGTCTAAGACCAATTGGCCCTTAATGACAGGCATCTTGGCAGAACTAAAACCATGATGATTGCCTCCATTTATGACATTATCCAGA